CATCCCAACGGCTGTCGGCCTGTCCAGCTGGGGAAGAGTTCTGAGTTTGTGATCTGCATGAGGGTGTTGGATTCCGAAGGAGGCTTGCTTGTTAAGCCCTGGAGCTGTGCGCATTCGGGTTTTCCCTGGAGCACTGGATGCACCTTCTCTGGGGGCTCTCCTGATCGAGGGCCAATGAACGATGCTGCCACAATGGCCTATGTCATTCACCAAGGTGGCACGAGGAGAACTGTGACACTTTTTGCATCGAGCTGTACGGCATGTTCGTGCTTTCTGTGCCGTTCACATTCCTGGCATCGAATTGGCAGGTGGATTACCTCAGTCTTTAGTCGCTGGCTTTGGGGAGAGTAGTTTCTGCACCCAGGTGTGTTTCGTCAACTTTGCATTCGCTGGGAACCCTGGAAGTAGCTCTTCTGGAGTCCTGCCTTTCCAGGTAGATGCTGCAGTTGTGGCGTAGATGTGGAATTCCAGGCAGATGCAAAGACTGCGCTGGTGGTGTTGAATCAAGTCGCGTCTCATTTCAGTTCTTCTTCCTCTAAGGCTGCTCCATAATGCAGGATAGAGACCAATGGGAATAAAGTCATTCTGGTGACTCCAGACTGGTATGTGGGACACAGTCTTGGTGCAGCTGGTCAGTCACTCCCTGGAGATTGTTTTGCTCGGAGGACCGCCAGTCCTAGGTTTTAGGCTCCCACCCTGTGTTACCGTCTTTTGCTTTGGGGGCGTGGTTTTTTCCAGGCCACTTTTTTTTAAATAGGATGTTGTTCTCCACATTGTTGGTGTCTCGCATATCTGTATCTTGGAGGATATATCCTCATGCCTGAAAGACTTACTTATATGGCCTAATGCAAAGCTCTGGGTGTCTTTTCATGCCCCTGCTCGGGGCTTGAGTGCTGGCTCTTCCTAACACGGCATTGACTAAATTCTTGCCTTAAGTACCATTACAAGTCCAGTTTTCTGCTCTCGCTGTCTTGTTTCAGCATTCCGGGGTTGTGTACTTCCTGCTTTGCATTTTACATAGGGGTTCGTCATCTGGCATGTCCTGTGCTTTCCCTGTTACCTTCATGGATCTTAAACTTGGTGTTTCTGTGAAACAAGTGTCTGCGCTGATGGTCTTCTCTTGCAAGTCCCCCTAGCTTGTCCTACACTCGAACTGGGGACGTTGTCCTTCCTTCCTTGTGCCCACAGCCATTGCATCCTGAAGGAGTTGCGTTGCAATTCTTTGCTATGGTTCAGGCAGTTTATGCATGCCTGTCTGCCACCTTCTGCTGGAGGTCACTTTCCCTTTTTTGCCCAGACAGCCTGCAAGGCCTGGCAGCCTCCTGTTCCACAAACTCCTATTTGATCTGGCAGACACCTGTTCAGGCGTGCGCTCTCAAGAGGCAGGCTTCGCCCTTTGCCATGACAGTGCACTCCTCTAGGGCAGTTAATGCAACGGATCAAATTTAAAATCCTAACACTGACGTACAAAGCTGTCCACCATACTGCCCCAAACTACATCACTGACCTAATATCCAAGTACCGCCCAGCACGCACACTCCGCTCCTCACAAGACCTCCTTCTCTCTAGTTCCCTGGTCTCCTCCTCCCATGCCCGCCTCCAGGACTTCTCCAGGGTGTCACCCATCCTCTGGAACTCCCTTCCCCAACCCATCAGATTATCACCTACTCTCCTCTCCTTTAGGCGCACCCTGAAAACCCATCTCTTCAGGGAAGCCTACCTCCCCCCCTGCTAACTTGCTGACCTCCTCCACTCTTCCTACCACTCTATCCCCCACAGCTATCTCCTCCTGTACCACTATCCCATCCCTTCTAGATTGTAAGCTCGAAAGAGCAGGGCCCCCGATCCCCTCATGTTTTGCATTGTATTGGTATTGTTCTGTCACATGTTCTGTCCCCCTTTGTAATGTACATCGCTGAGCGAACTATTGGCGCTTTATAAATACTGTATAATAATAATAATGCATCCTGTGTTTGGCATCTGGCACCTGTGTCTCAGGTTTCCGAGGCAACTTTCTGGTGGTCCATGTGCTTTTTTGCAAACCTTTTCCATACATTTTTGGCTTCTTGTTTGGGCTGCAAGCATTTACAGCCTGCTGCGTGTGGCTTTGTTTGCCCCTTTAGCGGTTGTTTGGGTGGTTGGCACATTTGCCTGTTTTGCTCCAGTTGCTTTTTGGTTTACCCATCCCTCATTGAGTCACTGCTTTGGGACATCCCTACGGTCAAGATTTAGAGGAAGCTATGTCTGTCAATGTACGAAAGAGAAAACGGAATTTTTTTTTCGTTTCTTAAATTGCCTTTCTCTGAGTTCACTGACAGACACAGCACCCAGCTCTCTGTTGGATTGTTTTACTTCTGACACTCGAGATGAAACAAATTCTAGTACATAAGTTGGACCTGTCAGTCTATAGTCTTCTCTACATCCATTTAAAGTGCTGAATTTATAAAGTTAGTCTGAGAGTTAAGAAAAAAAAAAAAAGCTGAGCTCAGTGATGAGAGCTCTGAGCACTGTTTGGAGAGAAGAGACACACCCTCCTCCATGCAGCTCACAGGAACAGAGGTAAGGTTGTTAATCTGCTGGAGTTTCCTTGTCACCATTTTTCTTTTGGTGTCAGGAGAACTTGTCCGAAGTGATTTATGCTGATCGCAGAGGAACAAAGTATCAGACAGGAATGTCACTTGGTACTCTTAATTGAGAAAAATACACAATATAGAGGAATATATTTTGTTCACATTTAATGTCTGAGGTTCACAACCACTTTGTTTTAGTAATGGAAGATATAAACTGGTTACAATGCACAACTGCTCCAGAATCTGTTTGCTCCAGTTTTGATAAATTCCCCTAAGACCTGGTTCACATACAGTGGGTGAAATAAGTATTGAACACGTCACCGTTTTTCTAGGTAAATCTATTTCTAAAGGTGCTATTGACATGATATTTTCACCACGTGTCAGTAACAACCTCCTGTATGGAGAAACTAGTCGCATGCATTGCTCTGGTGTGATTTTGTCCCATTCTTCCTCACAAACAGTCTTCAAATCCTTGAAGGTTCTGTGGGTCTCTTCTATGAACGCTGAGCTCAGAGCCACTCCATAGGACACATAGAGCTGTGGCTGGGCTGTGTTTCTAGACATTGGTAAAGCCTTTGAAATTTTTTTTTTCTATCCACCTCCTGACCGTGCCATGCCATTCATAGTTGTTTGCATTCATTTGCACTACCGGGACTGAAATGCTCCAGGAAAGCTCTTTTCATCCTGAGCTTATCAAAATGACTACATCCGATTACAGTTGAAAATCAGATGTTTGTGTGCCATTGAGAAGGTGATTAGCTAAACCTGATGGGGGTGATCCTTTTTTAAAAGCAGTAATTCTATTTTTGACTTTTTTTTTTTTTTCCCTGTTGGTGCTATATCTTTAACTTGGATGTTTTAAGTTGCACAGAGTAAATACAGTTGGATAAAAGAAAACTGTGCCATCTTTTCAGCCTGCAAAGCAACAAACTGTGAATATTTTAAAGAGGGTGATTTTTTTGCTATACCCACTGTAGGTTTCCAAACTTCAAGACTGTTCGTAATAGAAATAATTGAACTAAGTGGAGAGGAATATATGATTTAAAATATGACCATAGATACTGTGTGACTGCATTTTTAACATAATGACACAGTGTTTTGGTTCTCTGCTTTTTGACTATTAATATTATTTAATCTCGAAGAAGTAAAAGTTCTAATTGTAAGACAAATCTTTATGACTGCATTAATCCAACAAAATCCTATTTATATTGTGCATGCATTTATCAAAACAATAGAATTTTTGTTCGACAAAATTCTTTTGAAAGCATAGCCTGCAAATAAATACAAGTTGATCTTCATTTTTAGCTCCTCCCCCTTATGATACATAGGTAAAGCACTCTCCTCCTCCTGGAATCTGTACGATGCTGAGGAGCAGATTTTTAGTCTGCAAAAGTACACTAACCCTAGGTTCACGCCTGCATGGACACAGAATCCCATTCATTTGAATGGGCTGCTGTGCCTCCAGAAAGCGCAGCGAAAAGGTCTATCCTCCATTTTTGAAAACACGGCCTGCAGGAAAACGGAAAGTGCAATGTGGTTCCAAGTGCGGGAAGCTGCTCTGCGATTTCTAGTGCGTGGTGGTACCATTAGGATCAATTACTTCTGGAATCCTTCTGCCCTTTGCTTAGCTAAGCACACCCTTTTCCCTGCATGTCTTAGCTAACTCCTCATGAGGACTCCTGGGATGTAGTAACATCATTTGCCTAACCATAGAAACCAAGAAACAACTGATGAAATGTTAAAAAACAAGACAAAAAAAAAAAACTTCAAACAAGTAAATTATATTATTTCCTATATATTTACTAATGCTAGCAGCATAAGAATTAAGCATAATAAATGTTGATTGAGAGAGTGAAGTTCTGCTTGAAAGATACTAATGTAATCCTGTAATGGAAGTATCTGTCTGCCTTTTTAAAGTAAGTCCAATATCCTTCTCCCGGTAGCATGTTCTGAAAAGCTTCAAACCTGAATTTAAAAAAATTTGAAGGCTGCCATTTCTGATGATAATGCTAATTAGCTGACCATCCCTGGCCCTGCTACTTTTTGACTTGCTGACCTAGAAGCATCCTCCTCATTTGCATACTTGTTTGTTAGTAACTCAGAAGTCCTTGAAACAATAGGGTCAGTCTCATAGCCAGGCAACAAATAGGCTGACAGTAACATACCCAATTTTCTCTCAATAAGGGCCCATCTACACCATTTGCTTTGCTGTAACTATGTTGATACCCCAGTGCACTGGCATGGCAGCGTACAGCATAGTGTAATAACACGTTACTATGTATTGTGTAGTGCTGCATTAGGCAAACCATTCCAATAAATGGACTGCCTTAATGCAACCCATGTTAAAGTGTGTATGGTAAATTCTCTGGAAGAGGCTGTTGTGAAAAAACAAGTGCATTTCTTTTGATGTGTCAAACTTTTATTTTCTAGTCCTCGCATCGTAAAGCAGCCAGGAGGGACAGATCAAGAGAAGAAACATTCCAGTTGTCTAGATGGACACCAATCATAAAAGATGTCATAGAGGTAAGATTAATTCCTTTTGATTTTTTTTTTTTCTAGCTTTTTCCATTCGTCCAGGAACAGGCAAGCAGAAAACTTGTTTGTACAAAGCAATTGGGAAAGAGATTCTCATAAGTAGTTTGGACTGAGTAATTTATTATTCCCAAAATGCAGTCATGTGTCATGCAAATAAAGGATGCTTTACTTGCTGAGTTTATGGAGCCTGTAAACATAATAAAATAGTTGGTGTGTTTTAACCACTTCCCGCCCACAATGTACTGCGGCCAGGCTGCAGCTACAGACAAAGCGACGTACCCGTACGTCGCTCTGGCTGTACTAACACAAGGGAAGTACCACCCCCCTCGACTGCTGTGTCCAGCGGACACAGCGGAATGAAGATCTCGGTGAACGGGACTCGGTGATCGCTATGTGATCGCATGATCCGTATGTAAGCAAAGCTGTTACAAATCAATGTCATTCATAACAGCTCTGCTTCTCTTCCTAATTAGCTGTGATTGGCCCACAGCTGTCACATGATACATGGGGCCAGTCACAGCACCCTGTACCATGTGACCAGCTCCAGCTAATCACAGATCACTATCCTGAGCTGTCAAAACTTAACTCATTCATGACCATTCATGAATGAGTTAGATTCTGACAGCAAGATTTGCATTGCAGGAGAAATGATCTTTATTGCTCCTGCAAAGCAAAGTGTAAAAAAAAACACCAAACAAAATCACTGATCACCCCCCACGCAGCAGTACAATGTTGTTTCTATGGTAAAATTACTATTTTGATAAAAGTATTAAAAAAAAATAGAAAAAAAACCCATATTGGGAAATTTTTAAAACAGTTTTTAAGAGTTTTTTTTTTTTTTTAACTACTTGCCAACCACTTTCCCTGCATTTTGCGGGCGAGCAGAAGCTCCTGGCAAAGCAACGTAATCATGCGTCGCTTCCTATTTTTGGGTTTGAACGCACCTGCCCCTCCCGTTGGTCCAGGGAGAGAAGAGAGAACACGGCACCGAGTAAGAGCACCACTAAATTTTACATGCATGCGTTCCATTAGCAAATTTAACCCTTTGATCACCCCTATTAACCCTTTGATCACCCCCTCACCCAGCCAGTGCCATTAGTACAGTGTCAGTATATAGAATTTTGCTGGGAGGCATGTTGAGTGTATGGAAGATTTTATTTTTGCCACATTTTTTTGAAAATGACAAAAATGTTTTTTACAGAGTTGTCACTTTAGGATATTTCTCATACATGCCATGGGTATATGTGGAATTACACCCCAATTGCACATTCTGCTACTTTTTGCAAGCATGGGGATACCCCATGCGAGAGACTTTTTGGCAGCCTAGCCACGTATAGGCCCCCAAATCCAATGACTGCCTTCAGGCTTTCAGGGCATATTTCCTCAGGTCACTTCCTTAATACCTATCACAGTTTCGGAGGCCCTTGAATGCCAGGAGAGTAAAAAACACCCCCCTTCCCAAATTATCCCTCTTTGGAAAGTAGACTCCCCTAGGAATTTGATAAGAGGCATGAGTATTTTGCAGAAATCATTTTTTGTCACAAGGTTTTGAAAAATTTAAAAAAAGAAGAAAAAATAAATTTTTGTTTTTCTTTCTTCATTTTCCAAAAACTTGTGGCAACAAATTAGATCTGCTAAATACTCACCTTGCCTCTTAGCAAATACCTTGGAGTGTCTACTTTCCAAAAAGGGGTCATTTGGGGGGTGTTTGTACTATCCTGCATTTCAGGGCCTCCAAAACTGAAAGGTAAACACACCTCAAATGACCCCTTTTTGTAGGAAGTAGCAGAATGTGTTTTGGGGTGTTATTCCACATATACCCAAAAGTATTTAGATACCCCTCCAAATCATTGGATTCAGGTGTTCCAATCACCTCCATGGCCACAGATGTATAAAATCAAGTACCTAGGCATGCAGACTGCTTCTACAAACATTTGTGAAAGAATGGATCGCTCTGAGGAGCTCAGTGAATTCAAGCGTGTGATAGGTTGCCACCTGTGCAGTAAGTCCACCTGTGAAATTTCCTTGCTACTAAATATTCCACGGTTAACTGTTAGTGGTATTATAACAAAGTGGAAGCAACTGGTAACAACAGCAACTCCATGAACTGGTAAGCCACGTAAAATGACAAGAGCGGGGTCAGCGCATGCTGCAGTGCAGAAGTAGCCCACTACCTGCAGAGTCATAAGCTAAAGACCTCTAAACTTTGTGTGGCCTTCAGATTAGTACAACAGTGCGTAGAAAGCTTCATGGAATGAGTTTCCGTGAGCGAGCAGCTGCATCCAAGCCTTACATCACCAAGTGCAATGCAAAGAGTTGGATGCAGTGGTTTAAAAGCATGCCGCCACTAAACTCTAGAGCAGTGGAGACGTGTTCTCTGGAGTGACAAATCATGCTTTTCTGTCTGGCAATCTGATGGACATGTCTGGGTTTGGCAGTTTCCAGGAGAACAGTACTTGCCTGACTGCATTGTGCTAATTGTAACATTTGGCGGAGGGGGGATTCTGGTGTGCGGTTGTTTTTTTCAGGGGTTGGGCTTGGCGTCAGCATACCAAGACATTTTGTACAATAGCATGCTCCCAACTTTGTGGAAACACTTTGGGGATGGCCCCTTCCTGCTCATGACTGCGCACCAGTGCACAACGTAAAGTCCATAAAGACATGGATGAGCGAGTTTGGGGCGGATGAACATGACTGGCCTGCACAAAGTCCTGACCTCTACCCCAATAGAACACTTTTGGGATGAATTAGAGTGGAGAATGCGAGCCTTGTGGACAGCCTTCCCAGAAGAGTTGAAGCTGTTATAGCTGCAAAGGGCGGGCCAAATCAATATGGAACCCTACGGACTAAGACTGGGATGCCATTAAAGTTCATGTGCGTGTAAAGACAGGTATCCCAATAGTTTTGTTAATATAGTGTATCATTTAAGTAAAAAAATTTAATTTTCAAGAAACGTATGGCAATGGACTCAATATGCCTCTTGGCAAATAGTTTGGGGCATCTACTTTCCTAAAAGGGGTCATTTGGGGGGGGGGGGTTGTGCTTTTCAGGCATTTCATGGCCCCCAAAACTGTGATAGGTAGTGAGGGAATAAATTGAGGAAATTACGCCCTTTGAAAGCCTGAAGATGGTCATTGCTTTTTTTGCGGCTAGGCTCTCAAAAGGTCTCACGCGTGATATCCCCAAACTCAGGAGAAGCGTAATGTATTGTAGGGTGTAATTCCACATATAGCCATGTCATGTGTGAACAGTATATCATTTAATTGACAACTTTGTTTTTAAAATAAAAAGGACATTTTAATATTTTTAATAAAAAATATTTTATTTTCAACAAAACTTGGGACAAAAAATAAAATTTTCCATGGACTCAACATGCTTCTCAACAAATTTCTTGGGGTATCTACTTTCCAAAAAGGGGTAATTTGGGGATGTTTGTACTGCCCTGGCATTTCAACAATGTATATATACCATAGTTTGTAGATGCTATAACTTTCATACAAACCATATAATATACACTCCTGTAGCATAAAACATTTTGGCCTAAATTTGAGTTTATTAGAGAAATGTTTTATAACAGAGTAGAAAAGATTTTTTCCAAAATTTTTGGTCTTATTTTGTTTATATTGCAAAAAATTGATAACCTAGTGGTGACCAAATAACTACCAAAAGAAAGCTCTATTTGTGTGGGGAAAAAAAAAAGTATAAGATTGTTTGGGTATAGTGTTGCCTGGCCGCGCAATTCCCAGTTGAAATAGCGCAGTGCCAAATAGCAAAAAATGGTCTGATCAAGTGGATATTTTGTGCAGCAATTATTATTTTTTTGGTTTGCAGGTTAGTTTTCATATGGCCTAATTTATAAAATTTTTACCCTTTGCACCTTTTAGTGCTCTGTGAGAGGTTTTTGACAGGCAGGGAATATATAATATATATGCAGAATCCGAAGAACATTTTTACTTGTTTCCCTTCTGAGCTTTGTACAGCATTTACTTTGAAGTTTTCCAAGGAGAGCTGAATACGTATATGAACAGGCTGCATGACATCCAATCCTGAAATATTTCATGGCACACATTGGTGTTTGTCTCTCTGTAGACTTCATTGTATGTCAGTGAAGTCCTCTTGTCTTCTGATCTTGTCAAATTGCTTTATTACAATCAGCAAGACTTGCAGGATATCAGTCTAGAGACTTGATAAGTGTGGAGAGCTGTGAAGACAGACACTAATGATTAAAACCAAGATGTATGAACATACTGTAATGCTTAGCAGCCTAAATGTGTTATTTTTTAAAATTTTGAACGTTTTTAAAGTTTAATTTGCAGACATCTGTAAAGAGATGTTAAACTATTGATCATCTACAGACTTCTCATAAAAGGCTAACCATAATCCATTTGACATACTCGTGGAATTTCAGCAACAGTTATTCTATCTGTATGCTTCCCTATCCTTTTTCTTTACTGAGAAAGCAGACTTTACCAGCTCAATGTAAATCTATGCTTGACTCGTACATCAAAGAGAAGGAAATTGTAATTGCTGTTAAATCACTCGAAACCAATTGGAGGACAGGCCCGGATGGATATATCTCTTCCTCAAAAAATTCCTGGAGCTCTTGATTTTATACCTACTTCCAATCTTTAACTCCCTCGGAAAGGCAATGTCACCCCCCTCCAAGAAGCATTGAATGCTCTATTGTGACACTGCCTTAAACCTCACCAAGATCCCACTCTCGGTCAAGCTACAAAACTATATTACTTTTGAATACTTACGTGAAACTGCTTGGTAAAATATTGGCAAGTAGGGTCAGTGCATTCTTCGGCAAACTTCTCCACGAAGATCAAATGGGCATTGCACCCACATGTACCCTGTGTCACTTGCTAAAGCAATTGGACTCTGTCATATATTCCAGTAGATTCTTCTCCCAACATCTCTCGCTCATGGATATTATCCACAACCCATTATTCACTTCAGCATTATCAAGTCTTTTGGCTTTTGTGTTGTGGCCAACCAAAGGTACTAAATATTTACGTTACCTTTTTTCTCTGGGATGGATCAAGTCATTTACATAACTTAAAAAGCACTGGAAACTCCCCCCCATTCAGAAATATTAAAATTTTCATCAGATATCACGCTTTCTACATATGCTCCTTAAACAGATCACAACCTCCCCATTGCATCTAACTCCATTTGAAAGCAGATGCAAAAATCTCCCCACAGTCGATGAGCTTAATATCTCTTAAGATGTGTACATGGCCCTCGCCCCTCCTAGATCTGAAAATAAGCGCCAAAATATCCTTAATTGGGAATGAAACCTAGGGGAATCACTTGATATTCCAGATTAAAACAAAATCTGGTTATCAATGGCCAAATGCTTCATTAATATCTTTGCACTGGAGATTGCCCCGGAAGTGCTGTTCTGCTGGTACATGACCCTTGAACAGGTAGCTGAATAAGTGCCTCTCCTGTTTGTTTTTGAGGGTTTGGAGCCCAGGGTACTTTACTTCACATTTGCTGGCAATGCCCAAGAGTCAAGAGATTGTGGCTAAGAATATATAACCCAATTTGCTTGATCTTTAACAAAAATCTAACTCTCAATCCATGGGCAGCACTGCTTCATAGGCATGTCTGTGATCTTACTAGCTCAGAACAAAAACTAGTTTCCTTCATTTTAGTCACTCGCCAACAAAATTGGCAAGACCAGGAGGCCATCTTCCATTAACTTTATGGAGGTGAAGCAACAAATGAGTACCATGCATGCATTTTTGTAAAATAAAAGAGCTATTAAACTATGTAGTATTATCAGAATTGGCAATGGTTTTACCTTTCATCTATTTACATTAAATTGGTACAGGACAATATTGAGAACAAGTTAGACTCCAGGGAGTGGCCATACTGTTCTGAGTGCCCTTCAGCTTGGAATGGTTCTGGGGCAGTCAGGTAAGTGAAAGTTTATATCATTCCATTTAACAGGACCCTTTTTTAATTTTTTTGTGTTACAATTGCCTTTGTGGAATTTAATACAAGGTATATTGAAGCTTTAGAAACCTGATGAGTGTTACTATTATTCACAATCATATGAAGCACATAGCTTCAGTGCAGACTTATATTTCATTCTTGTGCAGTCTCTGCTATTGTTAAGACTTAGAACCATTTCATATGAACTTCATATAAGTAAAGTAATGTAAAATATAGTGTAGTGCTCCTAAAACATATTAAAAAAAAAAGTTGTGTAAAATAGTTATGCTCAACATCTCAACCTAAATCAAGATTGTTTATACCAAACAACCACAGATAAACTGTGTGTCTGGGAAAAAAAAAAGTTAATGCCGACAGGTATCATTTCAAATCTCATTAATTTAAAAAGAAAAAACAAAAACATACAAAACATATAAATGCGCCCATTAAAAATATCAAGTCATGTCTAAGGACTAATGGAATATTTCTGATCTGTACCTGTACTTCTAACTTCCATGTATTGAATTAATCCATACCCAAATCATTCACTTACGAATATTGAGAGCTCTCAAGAGTAAAGGGACAGCAATAAAAGATAGGAAGAGTTTTTTGTTTTGTTTTTTTGTTTTTTTTTCTTTTTAATTAATGAGATTTGTAATGATACCTGTCTGCATTAACCTTTTTTTTCCCCAGACACAGTTTGCCTGTGGTCGTTTGGTATAAACCAGTGGTCTCCAAACTGTGGCCCTGCTTTTTTCTGGCCCACTGACAACAACAATGGGGCAGCACTCCTCCCACTGACACCAATGATTGGTCATTCTTTCCCCCCCATTACTAAAGATGGGGCACTATTCCTCCCATTGACACAGATGGGGCACTATTCCCCCCACTGATGCCAACCATGGGACACTATTCCTCCCCCTATTACCAAAGAGGGGACACAATTTACTCCCACTGACACCTGGATATTTTTCACTCTCACTGGCCACATTCCGGCCCCCTAAAATTTGGGAGGGCCGTAAACAGAGAGGGGTACAGTTGCAGACGGAGGCATTGTCCTGCGTGAGTGCATTTTCTGCTGGAGTGCAAAACAGCAGTTAAACACCTGATCATGTCCTCTGCTTTTTTAAAGGTAAATGCTGTTATGTTATCTCCACCTTAAACTGTCTCCCTGCTATGCACTGACGTTCTGCAAACTTAGGGTAAATGCTGTTATGTGATCTCCACCTTAAACTGTCTCCTTGCTATGCACTGCCTTAACGCAAAACTCAGGATAATTAGTCCTATATCTTTTTGTCTGTGGTGATTGATTCTCACCTCCTTTGCCTTTCTGTAATCAGAGAATCAATCATCTTTTATGACTTTGGCCTGTGGCTGGTCTGGTTTTGACCAAACTCCCCCAAAATTCATGTGATCTTTATCCGTTCCTAATTGGGATCATCTCCCTACAAATTTAGACCAGCCTATGGAGGAGGTCACAGACGGGGTGCATTTTCTGCTGGAGTGCAAAACAGCAGTTGAACACAGCAGTTTAACTAAAGCAGGATAACTCAAGCATCAGGAAGAACTCTACTGAATGCTGGATGGACTGCAAGCAAACACTCTGGGAAACATATCCTACAAGTTTGATTCCCACTCAATCTACCTTTTTAAAATGCCCCCTGTACTCTTTTCATATTACTATCCTCTGCTCTCAAAATCTCCTTCCTTTACCCCTCTGCTCCACCCTCAAAGCTTATACATATCACCCTCACTTCTACCATCTCCCTACTACTGCTCTCATCACCTCCTGCTAATACTTTACTCACCTGCTGACCCAAACACCAGGACAGGAAGGCATGTGCACTCATTACAACTGTGGCAGACTGATGACCCCTGAAACCTTAAGCTACATAGTCGTGCACTGGAGTGATTGTGGCGTAAAACCAAATCTCAGCAAGCATTCATCCTATATAAATCTGCTTTCTTAACATACAATTCCTCCCTCCATGCTGCCAAACAAGCCTACTTTGTCACTTTTATTAATACCTTGTCATCCAGTCCTCATTGTCTCTTTATTTTTAACTCTCTACTTTGTCTACGTCCACCAGTAACTCACTGCTTACGAGATTGCAAATCATTTCAAAAACAAGATTGATGCATTTCATAGGGGCCTCTCCGCTACACAGACATCTATTCCACTTAGCATACCTTATACTAAACCTCCCTCAACACTTTCCTCTTTTGACCTTGCTACTACTGAAGAGGTCACTAAAGTTTTTTCAGAAGCCTGTCTCATCATGTGCCCCCTGGATGCTGTCCCCTGTCCTCTAAAGCATGCACAAATCAGTCCCATACGTAAAAAGCCCTCACTAGACCCCACCAATCTGAACAACTTAAGACCCATCTCCCTGCTCCTGTTTAAGCGTTCTAAGACTTTAGAGGTAGTCTATAATTGCCTGAGCTCCTACCTCACTGACAACAACCCTCTTGAAAAGTCTGGCTTTCGCTTACTACACTCCACTGAAACTGCCCTACTGAAACTCCCTTATGATTTACTAACTGCTAAAACCAATGGCCACTATTCCATACTCTTACTACTTGACCTCTCTGTGGCTTTTGAACATTGCTCAGTGCTCCTTCAGCATTACCTATAATGCTGCCTCCTTTTCTTCACTCCCCCTTTCTGTAGGGGGTTCCTCAAGGTTCTGTCCTTGGACCCCTACTTTTCTCCATCTACACCTCCTCCCTTGGTCGCTTGATAAACTCCCATGGCTTTAAGTACCATCTCTATGCTGATGACACACTATCTATCTTTCTACTCTTCACCTCACCCCTTCAGTCTCCTCTTGCAATACTAACCTACTAAGTGACATGTCAGCATGGATGTCACTCCACTTCCTCAAACTCAATCTTTCCAAAACTGAGCTCTTAGTATTTCCCCCAGCCCGTGCCCCCTCCCCTGACTTCTCCATCAAGATCAATAATACAACCATCAGTCTCTCCCCTCATGCCAGGGTACTAGGTGTAATCCTGGACTCCCATCTGTCCTTTCAGCCCCAAATCCAATCACTGTCCAAATCTTTTAGACTTCACCTCTGCAACATCTCCAAGATACGCCCGTTCCTAACCTCGGAAACCACTAAGCAACTTATTCACTCCCTTGTTATATCTCGCCTTGACTATTGTAACTCCCTCCTCATTGGCCTACCGAATCGCAGGCTATCCCCTCTTCAGTCTATCATGAATGCTGCTGCCAGATTTTTCAACCTTACTAACCGTTCTGTATCTGCCACCCCTCTCTGCCAATCCCTCCACTGGCTTCCCATTGCCCAACAGATAAAATTCAAAACATTAACAATAACTTATAAAGCCATTTATAACTCTGCCCCAAATTTACATCAACGATCTTGTCTCTAAATATCACCCAACCCGCACTCTCCGCTCCTCGCAAGACCTCCTTCTCTCTAGCTCCCTTGTCTCCTCCTCCCATGCTTGTCTCCAGGACTTTTCCAGAGCTTCCCCCATCCTCTGGAACTCTCTACCCCAATTTATCAGACTATCGCCTACTCTGCTCACTTTTAGGCGATCTCTGAAAACCTATCTCTTCAGGGAAGCCTATCCTGCCCTCCGCTAATAATGGAATCTTCTACTCTTCCAACCAGTTCATCCCCCCACAGTTACCTTTTGTACCACTAGCCCCTCCCTCCTAGATTGTAAGCTCCAAGGAGCAGGGCCTTCCTATCCCTCTTGTATTGAACTGTATTGTTGCTGTATTGTCTCCTGTTTATATTGTAAAGCGCTGAGCAAACTGTTAGCGCTATATAAATCCTGTATTATAATAATTTATAACTCTGCCCCAAATTACATCACCAATCTTGTCTCCAGATATCACCCAAACTGTCCTCTCCGCTCCTCCCACGACCTCCTGCTCTCTGGCTTCCTTGTCTCCTCCTCCCATGCTTGTCTCCAGGACTTCTCCAGAGCTTCCCTCATCCTCTGCAACTCTCTAGCCAAACTATCCGACTATCGCCTACTCTGCCCACTTTTAGGCAATCTCTGAAAACCTATCTCTTCAGGGAAGCCTATCCCGCCTTCAGCTAATAACGGAATCTTCTATTCCTCCTACCAGTCCATCCCCCACAGTTATTACCTTTTGTACCACCAGCCCCTCCCTCTTAGATTTTAAGCTCCAAGGAGCAGGGCCCTCCTAACCCTCTTGTATTGAACTATATTGTTGCTGTATTGTCTCCCTTTTATATTGTAAAGCGCTGAGCAAACTGTTGGTGCAATATAAAACCTGTATAATAATATTAAAAACTGGCTCTGTGTTTCTATGTTTAAAAAGTTTGGAGAGCCCTGGTATAAACAATCTTGATTTAGGTTGAAGTATTGAGCATAACTCCATTTTGTACAAAGTTGTTTTTTTTTTTTTTTTTTTTTTTTTCATTATTCCTATTGAATGCTCCCTCCCCCCCCTCTTTGTAGGAATATGATTATGGGACCTGATAGGATCTTTGTTTTTATGTTCTTCCTCTTAACATGTCTACCCACCCTTATTAAGTTCTCGTTTGCACTTTTTTAGGCAATTTGAATTGTATGTAAAAGTAGTCAACTCCAAAAGTGTTATCTCCATACTCGCTGTAGTTGGGGTGGGTGCTGGGAGTGCCATTTTGTCTTCTTGTATCCTTTCCTGATGGATACCTGGGAGATCATTTACATGATCTTTAACACTATATTATTGCTCCTGTACATTGTGTTGAGCAGATACTGGGTTGTTGGTTTTAATTTCTTTTGTTAATGTTACTGTGTACGCGAGCTGGGGTATGCTGCTAAAGTCCTGTTGTGTAATGATTACCTTTTTATAAATGTGCTATAAACTATACAAGTAAGTACACTGTCCCTTTTTTAAGAACCCTTCATGTAGCTCTCCAATATATTATATTAGAAAAACCCAAGTGCTAGTGCAAACTCAACAACTGTGCCAGATCACACATTTTAAA